GCCCTTGCCAGGCCCAAGCCGGACCCAAAACGATAGCGGATGGGCCGGCACGCCGGTTTTTTGGCGTCGTATCCAAAGGTTGTCTGTCTTCTCGCGTCGCGCCGCGGCCGTGCGGTGCGTGAGGCATAGCACGAGGCTGGTTTGGGATCACCACCGGCCCTCATATTCTCGCTGTTTGTTTTTGTTTTAGTTCCTGCATGCGCGCCCGCGCGACGGGCCTCTCCGGAGATGCGCACACTTGCCACTTGCCACTTGCCAACTTAGGAGCCGCAGGTGCGAGGACACCTCCGTGCTTCTCTCCGTATGTTGTGGGTCTCTCGAGCAGCACCACAGTCCTCTGTTCTGCATTGGGATCTGGGAGGGGAGCGAGGCAGGGGCGGGGCGGTGGAATGGGGATGAGCGTCGCTGGCAAAGTCGTCGTACGACGGGACCCACATAGAAGGGGACCCAGGACGAGCTGTGAAGTCCGTGAAGGACAACGCCATTAAGTGAAACACCGCAGCATGCCTGTGAACACCAATGAGTAGAGCACTGCAGCACGCTTGCGAACGCCCGTAACTTGAGCACCACAGCGATCGTCGGACGACGATCGGCGATTGCACCGCGTAGATTGCATAGCTGGCACCACATAGATTGCACCACGCAAGCTGCTACAGATAATTGTTTGGGCCTGGGGCCCACGCTGGATAACATATATCACCGCGGGGCCACCACGGACAGCCGCGCGGGACACCGTTCGGGACAACCGCGGGACCACCAACGGGAACCCGAGTAGGATTGAGGGGAAGAGGAAGAGGAGGGGGAGGAGGAGGAGGAGGAGGAGGAGGAGGAGGAGGAGGAGCGTCCTCGCCCTCGTCGTCCTCCTCCTCCTCCTCCTCGCCCTCGCCCTCGTCCTCCTCCGCCTTCTCCTCCTCCTCCTCCGCCTTTTCCTCCTCTTCCTGGGCGGGGCCGCGGGTCCTCGAGTCGAGGCGGCGGCGGCGGCGGAGCGGGGCCGCGGGGCGGGCCGCGGGGCGACGACGATCGATCCTCCTCCCTCCTCCTCCTCCTCCTCTCCTCCCTCCTCCTCTCCTCCTCCTCCTCCTCCTCCTCCCTTCTCCTCCTCCCTTCTCCTCCTCCTCCTCCTCCTCCGCCTCTTCCTTCTCCTCCTCCTCTTCCTGGGCGGGGCCGCGGGTCCTCGAAGTCGAGGTCGAGGCGGCGGCGGCGGGGCGGGGCCGCGGGGCGGGGCCGCGGGCGACGGCGACGACGACGACGACCTCCTCCTCCTCCTCCTCCTCCTCCTTCTCCTCCTCCTCCTCCTCCTCCTCATCCTCCTCTTCCTCCTCCTACTCCTCCTCATTTTCTTCCTCATCCTACTTTTCCCTTTCGGTCCGTCGTCGTAGTCTCGGTCCGTCGTCGTCGTCGTCATCATCGTCGTCCTCGTCGTCGAAGGTGAAGAACGTGCCGCGGCCCTCCGTTTTGCTCATCCTTCTTGTCCGCCTCCTCATTCGTATCCTTCCAGTCTTCCTCATCGGAAGGAGGATGAAGAGGATGAGGAGTAGAGGGCAAAGAAGAGTAGCAATACGACGATGGCGAGGAGCAACAGCAGCCGCAGCAGCTGTGTTTTCTGGTTATTATGTGTGGAACGCTGCTACCGCCACGCATGGTGACTGACAGTCACGGTCACTGAACTCTTTCGCGATGGTGCCGTGCTTGGGGGGGCCCCTACGATCCCAGATCTGCCTCCTTATTCCTCCCCTCCTTTCCTCCCGCCCCCTCCCCTATTTCAGATCTACCTCCCCCCCTCCCCCATTCCGTTTCTTCCTATAGCATCTTCCTCCCTCCTTCTTCTCTTCCGCCTCCTCCTCCATGACGCTTCCCCTCTGCATCGAGGGGGCCGAAAACTGCCTCAATCCAAATGCCAGACGTCCTGGCCGAGCAGCTACAATGTTCGTGCTCCCCACAAAAGCACTTGGCTCTTGCGACGCAACATTGATTTCCCATGGCCGCAATAGAACCGACATGGCATTGGCAAAAAAAAGGCACTGGCACACAACACAATTTGCACACAATCGCTCAGCGAAGCAAGTGCTTTGCATGCTTCCACTCATCGCTCGGGGCAGCGCCGCGAGCGCGCTTGCCCTTGCCTTTGCCGATGCCCTGGCCCTGACCTTTGCCCTTGGCAGAGCCCTTGCCACGCGACACCTGCGGAGTCTTGGAGAGCATGCCAGAGACCGTCTGGCGGTACACGGGGCCGTTGATGGCCTTCTCGAGGCCTTGCGGCCACCTGCAGCTCCAGACATCGAGATCGCACTCAATCATCTTCTTTTTCATGCCGACGGTGTAGGCGTAGCTGAAAGGGATCTTGGAACACTTCACGTCCAACACAGTGCACTTGCCGGCCTTCATGGCGTCGACCTCTGCCTGCTTCGCCTCCTTAATGAGCCATGCTGGGACGAACTCGTCAGTCATCGTCGTGTCGACGCCCTCCCCTGAAGCATACAGCATGACGTTGCCGATCTTCGTCAGCGGGATGCAACCAGCGGAGGCCACGCGCACGACTCTACCAAATAAGTTCGCCACGAAATTCTTCCCCATGCGGTCCGAGACGAGAGTCTCCTCAGGCTTGTCCGGGTTGCAGTGCAAGCACGTCGTGCCCGAGTCGGGCTGATGTGACTCTGGCTTCAGGGAGGTTTGGCCCGACACGACGCACTTCTCGTACAGCGTGGCCTCAATCTTCTGGATGACGTTGCGCAGCACCAGAGGTGGCAGGTCGTTCTCATCATCCTTCCACTGGCCGCGCAGCTCGCTGAGAGAAATGACATGCGTCGACTGATCCTCCTCAGGCTGCTGGGGGCCCGGGGCCTCGGCGCCCTTGCCGCCACTCGCGCCGCCACCAGTGGCGCCGCTGCCGTCCGCCGAAGCCGAGGCCGCCGATGCCCCATTCGCGCCGCCACCAGCGGCGCCGCCGTCCGCCGAAGCCGAGGCCGCCGAGGCCCCATTCACGCCCTCGCCAGCGGCGCCACCACCTGCCGAATCCGAGGCCCCCGTCTCGCGCGCGATGATCTCGCTCAAAAGGTTCTCGAACTTGCCCGTGTTGGCCATCTCGCGGCGGCCCCAGATAATGACCTCGGACCAGATCGACACCCAGTCGCGGACGAAGTCGTGCTGCTGCGTCTGCCCTGGGCTGCAGTATTCGGGGAAATTGATCTGCTTCAGGGCCTTCGCGTCCAGGGCGCTGACGACTTGCGACAAATTGGCGACGATGGACGCCGCGAGCCCCTGGATCTGATCATACGGCGCCAGCACTGGAGAACCTGAAATGATAACGCAATGGCAAAATGCTCATCCTATCCGCCACCGTGCCCCCTGGCACGTTGACGCCACAAACCCTCGAAAGAAAAATACCACAGATTCGCGCCAAGATGGGCCCAAAGGGCCCCAAGAGGCCGCCAAAACGGCGGGCCCCGAGACGCCCAAAGATCGCCCCAAGACGCCCAAGACGGTCGCAAGACGGCCCCAGAGGCCGCCAAGACGGCAAAAGAGAGCCCCAAGAGGCGCCCCAAGAGACCCCCGAGGGGCCAAACTCGTCAATTGGCCGTTGGTTTTTGAAGGATTTTGGCTTTCTCGCCTTTTCGGCGTTCCGACGTTCCAAGACGGCCCAAGCGGCCTCCAGGACCGCCCCAAGACGGCCCAAGAGGCCCCCAAGAGGGCCCCAAGACGGCCCAAGAGAGTCCTAAGACTGCCCAAGAGGTGCCAAAGACGGCCCCAAGAGCGGCCCAAGAGGGGCACCACGAACCGACAATTCGACCTTTCCGCCCCAAGAGACCCCCAGGACGCCCCAAGACGCACCCAAGAGGCCCCGAGAGGCGCCCAAGAGGCCCCCAAGATGCCCCAAGAGACCCCCAAGAGGCCCAATGAGGCCCCAAGAGGCCCCCGAACGGGCCCAAAGAGGCTTCAAAACTGCCTCCCAGAAGCCCCCGAAAAGCCATATACGAGATCCCAACACACATACAAGAGGCCTCAGACCAACAACCCAGGCATCATCATCATCATCATCATCATCATCATCATCGTCATCATCATCATCAGCAGCATCACGGAGACAGGGGGGAAAATGGACGCTTAAGGACACGGAAAATCAGCATCATCATCAGCATCATCATCATCATCAGCATCATCATCAACAACAACATCAACAACATCATCAACAACATCATCTTCGTTATCATAATCACCCCCGAGACGGCTGAGGTGCCACGTGTCACATGTGACGGTTTTGGCCTCTGCCTCAAGGCCTCATCAGCGCCATCATCGTCAACGTCGTTGTCCGGCCCCAGACGGCCAAGGTGTCACATGTGACGGTGTCGGCCTGTGCCTCTGCAGCGCGGCCTCATCATATCGACAATGTCGTCGTTCGGCCCTGGACGGCCAAGGTGTCGCATGTGACGGTGTTGGCCTCTGCGTGACGGCCTCACTGCCACAAGACGAAAAGGTGTCACATGTGACGGCTTTCCTCTTCCTCCTCCTCTTCCTCCTCCTCCCCATCACCAGCGTCATCATCATCATCATCATCATCATCATCATCATCATCATCATCATCATCATCATCATCATCATCATCATTATCATCATCATCATCATCATCACCACCACCGCAACCAATAAATTTTATTTACCATCACCATCACCATCATCATCACCATCGGACCACGATTTTACATTACGTCGCAGGCTCGAGCATCCGTGTTCTCTCACGGTGGCGGGATTTGCCGCAGGCAGCTGGATGTCCTCCCTCATCCTCCCTCCTCCTCTTCCTCCTTCCCCCCCCCCTCCCCCACCCTCCTCAGCGGGAGGGCAGGGGCCAGGGATTCAGACGTGGGTCAGGGCGGGGACAGGAAATCATGACGACGACAACGACGAAGGGCAAGGGAAAGCAGGAAGAGGAGCGAGCAGCGAGCAGCAGCAGCAGCAGTAATGACACATGAGTTTGGGTTTTGACGCCCCCAGTGACATGAAGCGGCAATCAAGAGCAGCTCAATCATGTAGTGGATGCGCAGCGACATGAACTGCTCCAGAGTGTCTGCAGTGGGGAACACACCTCCGGAAGCATATTCAACGGTGGACTTCTGCTCCTTTATGGCCAATGGCACCAACTGAGCAAATCGCACCCACCAGTGGGGGATGGCATCCAGCAGCGGGGCGGAGATCTGCGTCAGGATGGCTTCGAGATTATTCTTCACACCGACGTCCCAATGCACCATGTTGTTTGAAATGACAGAGCTCAGCGAGATGAAGGCGGGGTGCACGCGAGCTGGGAGCGCCGACATGAGATTGGACTTCACGAAGCTTGAAAGGTCCAGGAGCCCAGACTGCTCCTCCTGGAGGATGGCCGCGATCTGCGGCGTGTAGAACTTCTTAACCTCGGATCCTGCCCCTACGCCCGCCATCGCCGACCCAGCTGGCGCCGCCTCCTCAAGGTCATCCACCGCCAACAGGTGCAGGAGAGAGCTCGTGATCTCCTCGGACGAAGCATTCTCAAGGTCGCCAGCCAGGCCCGGGAGCTTCATCAGCGGAGTCGCATGGATCCTGATGATGTCGCCGCGAAGAGCCTTCCTGACGTGGCTCCACGCGACTTTGGTCTCCCCTGCGATCCAGATCTCACCCTTGAAGCAGAAGCGAAGGCCATCGCGAATGACCAACGCGATCTCGGCGCGGTTGATGTCGTCTGCCTCGAGGTCTTTCAGGGGCGCGGTGATCACGGCCGCCAGGTCGTCGAGAAACAGTTTGTCCCGACCCATGGTCTCTAAGCTCATCACCTCTTCGTCCACTGTGAGCTTCGGCTTCTGCTGCTGCCTGACGTTGTCCTTCTTGTCCTTCTTCGCCACCTTCTTGGGCTCCTTGCGAGATTCCTTCGCAGCCCTCTTCTGACGAAGTTTCTCCTGCTTGTCATCCTTGTAGAGGACGGAGCCGCCCATCGGACAGATGAGCAGCCTGATCAGCTTCATCTGCATCTTGTCAAACAACCACTCCTCAGCCCCGGGCCTGCCATTGCCGCCAGACCCTGAATTCGCAGAACCCACATCGGCCAGCGGGACCATGAACCTCACGCACTCCTTGATGATGTCGGTAAGGAAGCCCTCGTCGATCGTGTCGCTGAATCTGGTGCGGAGCAGGTTCAGAACGTTGTAGTTGTTGAAGGCAACCACTTGGTTGGAGAGCCCTGGCCGAAGGAAGTCGCAACGCTCGCCGAGGAGGTCCTTGTACCACTCCCAGATGCCCATCTCCTTCATGGCATTCGCGAACGACCTCGCGTTGGTCAAGTGAGCGCCGTCCTCGAAGACGCCTTCGAAGTTCTCCAGCACAAACTTCTCGAACAGCTTAGAATATCGCAGGTCTCCGGAGCTCGGGCACCCATGCACCGTGATATTGTGCTTCGTCTTGTGCTCCTTCCAGGCAGCTTCGATGGTCTCGAGCTCGTTGTACCTGCGTACTGAGTTGCATATAAAATGCAACTGATATACTCCCCTCGACCGACTCTGGTTCAAACGTTTCGGATCAGAGTCAACTTGACTCTGATCCGAAACTCGAGTCAACTCTTCGTCGTCGTTGCCGTCACTTGACTCTGAGTCAAGTGACGGCAACGACGACGAAGACGGGGACGACGAGGGGCGATGAGGTTTCGAGGACCGCTATTGGTTTACAAATCGGTTGTGCTTTCAGAAAGGGGGCACATCTCGAGGCACGAGTACTTCGATCCACTGTGCCAGTTGTTATGCTCGTTCTTCACCCACGTGATGACGTCGTCTGGGGTCCTACTGTCGAACTCGATGCAGTTCGGGATGCCTGTCGCCAGCGCCCGCACGACGTGCGGGTTCTCTGGCTGCATGCTCTTGGCCACGAAGATGGAGTCGACCAAGGTCCCCCCGCCAATGATCTCCATCTTGCCGCCGTCCCCTGCGATGACGATCGGCGCGGCGCGCATGGCCGCCATCACGCCGTTCTGCAGGACACCCCTTGCGTAAGTAAGGACGACCACCTTCTGGACCCTCTGGTTGAGCCTGTGACGAAAAGCAATCCGCTCACCTTTATCATCGACCAAGTGTAAGGTAGTTCTCTGAGGCTTGACGTAGGCCTTCTCGATCATATTCCATCGCATGCTACCAGTGACATCCTTGAAGCCCTCGCGGTCCTCAATGGTGGCCCGAGAACCGAACAATGCGTCCACCGCAGTCCCAGAATGCGTCGGGCCGGTCCCAGCCGTCGGAAAAGGCCCAGCGCTGCCAGTGGGCGCGGAGCCCGCGGCAGGGACTTTGACTTTGGTCGTGGGAGGACTGCTCATGATGACCTCAACGGGCTCTCCAGGAGCGATGAGGGCCATCGCGGCTTTAGCCGCGGCGGCCTTGGTAGCCGGGGCCGCGGGTCCCGACGCGCAGCCTGACATCTCAGCAGCTGAAGTGCAGAGAACTGCCACGAGTAGTCTGAGTACCGAACACCACGAGACAAGTTGTCTCCGCCCCAAAGACAACCGAAAACAAGCTGCGCCAAAATGGCTATGGGTGGGAAGGCGGACAAAGAGGGGAGCGTGTCAGCACGAGTAGCCGGAGGGCAGGAGGGGGGCGAAAAAGGAGGAGGAGGAGCAGTTGAGGATGAGGGAGTGCGAGAGGATGTCATCGCATGTGTTTCTGACTTTTGATTGATATCGTGAAATGTGCATTCCATGTGTGCTCTATTCGGGCTTGCGGTTTCGAGATAGAGGGGCAAGGCGGAGCACGCGGATGCCGCGGGGTGGCAAGGAGTTGGGGGAGGGGGAAGTTGAGCAGGATGGTTGGATGGCTGGACGCTGCTATAGCGGAGGGAGGTGGTTTTGAATGAGAGGAGAGGAGGTGGCGGAGGAGGCCCCACATGGGCCCCATACTCGCTACCGCAGCGCACGGGACTGTGGATGTTGAGCCGCAGAGCGGGTTTCAAGAGTGACCGTTTCTCTTTCTTGCTTACTTGTTGTTTATTGCACCCGCAGGGCTTGGGAACGAACAGGGGAGGAATAGGAGGGTCAGAAGATGAGCGGCATGGCAACAGTAGCGCAGCATCTCACACCACAGTGCTGGCAGATGGCCTCTCCCGCCGCCCCCTGCTATGGCAGCGAACAGGGGGGGGGAAGAAGCGCGCCTCAGGGTCTACCAGCACCTCGAGGACTCCGAGGGTCCTAACCCCCAGAGCCTCCAGAGCCTGAAATTCACATCCTCGCAAATATGTTCCTGCCGTGCCCCCTACCTTCCTACCTTACTTGCTTTGCTGCTACTCCTCCCCTCCCCCCCTCAATGCACTCTTCTTAAATGCGATCTAAGCTCCGAGTCTAGGCTTCTTCGGAGCTGGGAGACCGACTTTGGAGTGCTGGCGCCGACCTCTGATCGGGCTGTTGCCACTCGTGCCGCTGTGGTTACTAGTTGCGCTATCTGACCTGCAGAGTGGCCGATGCAAGAGCACTGAACGCGCAGCGCCACCTGCGTACTGACTCAGAGCGTCCGCGACCCTATCAGCACTTGGCGGGCCCTGGGAAAGCCACCAGCAGAACGCCGTGCCCATGACAGCCAAGTGCATGGTGTTGCCTGCTTGCTCTATCATCACGCCCCTTTTTCTTGCGCGGAAGCCCTTGCCGAGCCTGTCTGCGTTGAAAGGGCAGAACTCGGCGGCTAAATCGTTCACCTTGCTGTAGGTGCCGAACCCTTGGGCTAGGAGGATCTCGCGCGGGCACATCCACCTCTGGTGGTGGGTGCTCCATGCGATCGCACAACCCTTCACGATAGTGTACAGCCACGTCTGTCCAAGTGTGTTCATGGGGTGCCCGATGGGATCTTGGCCCAAATCTACAACTGATCCTATGTCGGCATCCGTGTGGGCCTGTCGCTCCTGATTGATGTGTTGCTCCAGTCTGGTCTTCTCAACCGGGGTGAGCAAGTCGAAGAATGGAGTCGTTGACGGACCATCACAGCGATCGGTTGACCTTGTTTTTTGGGTTGCCCACGTCAGCTCGCTCTCTAGGTCGCCCTTCTCTGCAATGAAAAATGCGTGCCAAGTGATGTCGCATTCCCTGTGGAAAAGCACTGAGAATTCGGGCCAAGGCATTGGACTGGGAACGCTCTCTGTGACAGTCTTCTTGTGCCTCAGCCAAGTAATCCTCCGTTCACGCTGCACTGGATGGCCCAGCGCAAGGGGGCTGAGCACGATGGTCTCGATCAGGTATTCTTCTGGGGGGGGAGGGCGGGGGGGTGCTGGATAACCTGAAGAGTTGTTTTATTGCCGGGGGGGGCGAAAACCCGTGCAGCGACATATTCTAAATGTTTTAGAATACGAGTTGCCTTCAGAACCAATGTTTGATTGTTCTAGGGATATTTGGTCGACGTCGTCGAGCACGATTTTTTTTGCCGATGGGGTCGAGAACCCGTGCAGCGACGTGACCTATTTCCCTACCTAGGCTCTGCCTAGAAGTGTTCTTACTCTCTTAGCTTAAAGGGGCCGGGCAGTGGAAATCGCCCCGGGAGGTTCCCCCAGCCCCCGCCCCGCGGTTCCCCCAGTCGCGCCCCCTGGTTTCACCCAGCTTAGCTTAGCTTCAGCTTAGCTTTAGCTTAGCTTGAGCTTAGCTTTAGCTTAGTTTTAGCTTAGCTTTAGCTCAGCTTTAGCTTAGCTCTAGCTTAGCTTCAGCTTAGCTTTAACTTAGCTTTAGCTTAGCTTCAGCTTAGCTCTGGCTTAGCCTTGCTTAGCTCTAGCTTAGATTCAGCTTAGCTCTAGCTTAGCTTTAGCTTAGCTCTAGCTTAGCTTCAGCTTAGCTTTAGCTTAGCTTTAGCTTAGCTCTAACTTAGCGTTAGCTTAGCTTCAGCTTAGCTCTAGCTTAGCTTTAGCGTAGCTCTAGCTTAGCTTTGGCTTAGCTTTAGCTTAGCTTTAGCTTAGCTTCAGCTTAGCTTCAGCTTAGCTTTAGCTTAGCTCTAGCTTAGCGCCAGCTTAGCTTCAGCTTAGCTTGAGCTTAGCTCTAGCTTAGCTGCAGCTTAGCTTTAGCTTGGTTTCAGCTTAGCTTCCGCTTAGCTTTAGCTTAGCTTCAGTTTAGCTCTAGCTTAGCTTCAGTTTAGCTCTAGCTTAGCGTTAGCTTAGTGTTAGCTTAGCTTTAGCTTAGCTTTAGCTTAGCTCTAGATTAGCTTTAGCTTAGCTGCTAGCTTAGCTTTAGCTTAGCTTTAGCTTAGCTTGAGCTTAGCTTTAGCTTAGCCTTAGCTTAGCTTTAGCTTAGCTTCAGCTTAGCTGCTTCTTAGCTTTAGCTTTACTGTTACTACTAATGCTGCTTTCCTAGGGGCTCCAACTTCTAGGTAGGGTCGCACTGGAAAAATCTAAAAAATGTTAGACTAGGTCGGACGAGCTGCCTTGTAGAATAGGTCGGACGAGCTGCTGTTTGACCTACCTACAGCTCGAATAGGTCGGACGAGCTGTAGCTAGGTCAAACATATTCTATTTTTTTTTAGAATATGTTTGATTGCATTTGGAATATTTGGACGACGACGTCGGGCACGACTTGAGGGCCCGCGTTCGAGCCCGAAATGGACGGGTGCAACTCCAGGGGTCTCTTAGGGCCTACCTGGAACACCCTGGGGCCAGTCTTGAGGCCGTTTTTGTGGCCGTCTCTTCGGGCCCCCAATGGATGCTACAACGCCAACGCACCCCCCTGTTGTAGCATCCGTTGGTCCGTTGGGGGGCCCTCTTGAAGCCTTCTTGGAGCTTTCCTTGCGTTTGACGTGATCCCCTGCGGTCCTCCGAGCATCATGTCTAACAAATTGACTGGGAACTCGGGCACGTTCTCGTGTAGGATCCCGTCCTCCTTTATCAAGAGCCTCTGCGAGCACCACGCCAAGAAGCACAGCAAGAACTCGAGGTCATCGACGCCAACCTGGGGCCCCTGCGGAGACCACACCACGCACGGAGTACCTGCTGTGTGCAAGCGGCAATACAGCGCGTCGCACTCCTTGCAGTGGATGCGACAGCGGGCCTTAGACTTGATAGCCATACCTGATTTGAAGATCTTGACAATGTCATCGAATTTCATTCGGGCTCCCTGGGATTCGAGAACTCGTCTGACCTTCGGGTTGACAAAGTCCATCATATCCTCGAACACGCAGGTCGGGGCACAGTCGTGGCACATCAACTCCACGCGGCTCTCTTCCCGTTTCTCGATCGCGAACTTGTTCTCGCAACGCAGCGTCGTGCCCACTGCATCCCCCAATCTTCGGAGGACCATGCCGAGGGCCGCCTCCGGGGCCCCGACGCCACTGAACGCAGAGGAATGCGTCATATCATGCGCAACTTTAGCCAAGCCCTCTAAACCAGCAGGCGCCGCAGAGGCATTGTTTGAGAGAACGGCCAAATTGTGCTCTGTCCACCGAAAAGCATCCTCTAACGATTTCACAGTATTGCAACGCTGGACTGGAAGTAACGGTCTACTCATGGCTAGCACTGCAGCTCGGCGCTCGGCCGCGCGGGCGGCACGCAGCCGCCAGACAGTGGGTTGAGCCAAAACAGGCTAAGGAGAGACAGTACACTTCAAGTTGAAAGCTCTATATGCACACCCCGTTGGGAACATCGTCGGGCTTCTGCCTGGAAATACGAAAGCTATATCGGTTTAAATGCTTGCACGTGCTATGAAATATGAGCAGCGGGCGCCCGTTTGAATTCAATCATTGCAGACGCTGCACAGCCCGAAAACGCACGAATTCCAAACCGATTCCAATTCGACGCTCAACAAATGTGCTGAAAACTTGGTCCGGGGCACCACTATGGGTACTTAGCGCACGCGGCCCAGCACGCACAATCGCTTACCACGCATGGCATTATCCAAACCAGAATTGAAACATAATGCGAACAAACCACCACAGTTGCACGCAGTGCTGATGTTCAAAGACTGGCCCAAAGAAGAGCGTTGCAGTAACACCTGCTTTGCGAAGGCCGCCGAAGAAGCTTCGCAGCTGGACTGACAAGGTCAGCACCTGCACAGTCGAGCTGTGAAGGGCCCTTATGGGCCCTTCACAGCTGAGCTGTGAAGGCCATGACCTTCACAGCTGAGCTGTGAAGGTCATGGCCTTCACAGTTGAGCTGTGAAGGGCCCTTCTGGGGCCTTCACAGCTGAGCTGTGAAGGTCATGGCCTTCACAGTTGAGCTGTGAAGGGCCCTTCTGGGGCCTTCACAGCTGAGCTGTGAAGGTCATGGCCTTCACAGTCGAGCTGTGAAGGGCCCTTATGGGGCCTTCACAGCTGAGCTGTGAAGGTCATGGCCTTCACAGTCGAGCTGTGAAGGGCCCTTCTGGGGCCTTCACAGCTGAGCTGTGAAGAGCCCTGACCCTATGATAAGAGACTCACGACTGCGAAG